CTTCAGCACAAAATCTATGGAAACATAAACTGGATTCAACAAATATATGGGAAGCCATGTCTGGGGCCACAGCTTATTGGCAACCCTCCATGAAAGACACAAGGCAGACACAAGCACTGTAGTTCTAACAAATGGTACACAATACCAGAGACATCAGTAAAGTCTAGAGAATTTGAGAATCAACAGAGGTTATAGAATGAGATCCTGCAGTGATCTGAATGGAACTTGTTTGGGCGTGTGTGTGTGTGTGTGTGTGTGTGTGTGTGTGTGTGTGGAGTCAATGGTGTGAGTGATAACTGTGGACAAATAGAAAGGAACAAATGCTATGGATGCCAGCTCAGGTGTCTGGGCTTTCTCTGTTTCTAGGGAGTCATGAAAGCATGGAGAGCTGTGTCTCAGGAAAGGCAGCGCTAATGGAGATGGGTCAGATGGGAACTGAAAGCAGAGAGTGAGGTGTGGAAGCTCCTGCCACAGCCTCTGAAATAGTGAATGAAATGCAGCCTCAGTTAAGGCAGTGATGCTGCGGTGAAGAGGAGGAGGCAGATTCTCATGCTGTTGGACAGGATACTCGTCCAGGTGGAAGTGGATAGCGAAAGAGAAGGTAGCTCTGAAGTTTTATTGCCTAAATAACCGAAAGGATGAAATATGCTTTCAAAGAAAACATTTGTGGTAAGCACTAGTTTATGCAGTTATGAGAATTAATTCGCTTCAAGTAACAAACCTATACATGGAAACTTGGATCTAAAATAAAAGTTCAAATTATTTTTAGGAAAGTAAAAACAAAAGGAAGTAATTAACTAAAAAGCAAAAGATTAGATCTATGGATCATTGGGCAAACTACAGACAAAACAGCCTAGATGACTGAAATTTTTGCTTTTTGGTCCATCATGGGGGCATCAGCTGGGTACAAACCAAAACATACTCATCTATAGTCAGGTAATAATTCCTCCAAAAGCATTCTTGGCTGATAGGTCTGGCTTGAGTGGTCCCTGAAGACTGCTAAATTGTAAGCCTGTAATACAAGGGGGAGTATAAAAAGGTAGCAATTGCTTGAAAGGTAAAGGAGGCCATGAGTATTTTTCCTGGACAAATTATATTTTGAAGGAGTAAATGATAAAGCCTTAGTTAGGATGGACTTACTCCTTCTTTTGCTCATGTCTTTTGCTTTTCCATTTGTTTTTAGTTTTTAATTTCTTACGTATCTATGTGTTGATTGTGGATTAATTTTTAAAATAATACTATTCCCCTCCTTTGATGCTGAAAGATCAATTCTGTGTTTCAAACAAGAATATATCCCATCAAAATACGAAGAAATTTTTTCTGTTCACATCCAATTCTTATATGCAGTGTTTTGTTTTGTGTTGTTTTGTTTGAACATGTTACTAAAACTATCCTGGAAATCACTCCCTGAAAATAGAGCTCTCTCAGGAATTACAGGGGTTTAGTTCATTAAAATATATTATAAATGGGTGGCAACGTGGCTACATTTTGTCCTCTTAAATTTGAATTTCACTTCCATCATCAGTCCGTATCATTGGGGATTTCAGTCTGTAGTTGAGAAGGAACAGGGTTGTAATGTGTGAAAACACATTTATCTAAATTACATTCACTAAAAGTACCACTTTCTATTACTAAAAGCAAGCTAGAATGCATAACTGTTGTCATTGATTATGTTTCAAAGCTGGCCCTATGTAAAACATGAATGAAATTGCATTTGCTTGGGAAAGGTTTTTGTTGTTATGTTTTTTTTTTTTTTTTTTTTTTTTTTTTTTTTTTTTTT